GGTTGCAGAAACTGGGTATGTCTAATTTAGTGAAAAGGAGGACTAGGGGAGACATAATAACAGTGTTCCAATATCTCAGGGGTTGCCACAAAGAAGAGGGTGTCTAACTATTCTCCAAAGCACCTGAAGGTAGAACAAGAAGCAATGGGTGGAAACTAATCAAGGAGAGAAGCAACTTAGAACTGAGGATAAATTTCCTCATAGTTAGAACAATTAATCAGTGGAACAACTTGCATCCAGAAGTTGTGAATGCTCCAACACTGGAAGTTTTTATGTAGATGTTGGATAATCATTTGACTGAACTGGTGTAGGGTTTCCTGCCTAGGCTGGGGATTGGACTAGAAGACTTCCAACATCCCTTCCAATTCTGTTATTCTATATTCTGTCAATAACATATTTTCAGCAATTTTTTTAAATATCTATTTTTAGAGACCCATAGTTATTAAGGAAGAATAATTTGTCTATAATAAGCAGTAAATGGACACATATCTGTTCATGGTGTTGAAATAGCTTATTTTGGAACATAGTTACTTTCAATTCCCTGGAACTGACTTAAAATGGGAAGAGATGAAGACTCCTGAAGAAGAGAAAGGTTACCATTCAGTGAGCCAGCAGAACTCATAAAGAAGGAATATATAACATGCCACTGCTTTTTTTCACTGATTTTAAATGTATTTAGGAGTAACTGAATACCCGAGCTCCACTACAAAACTATGCGATTGGGCTTGATAAATCGACACTTACAGCTTGAAAATTAATGAGTAGTTACAATCGGCCTCTCCTCTCCCCTTCTCTCCTTCAGGCTTGTCCCACAGAATCCTCCCCTATCCTATTCCTTCTCTCTCTCAGCTGCACAGAATCTTCCCCTATCCTATCCACTTCTCTCTCTCAGCCTTGCCCCACAGAAACCTGTCCTGTCGTATCTCCTATGAGTCACACGCTGGCCACACCCACATCCAAGTGGCAGTTGGAACAGAGTTATTTTCAGGTTAGGAGGGGGAGTTGAATATCTAACTCCTTAGCATCAGAGTGTATTCATAATAATATAATAAATTTTAATGATCTGATAAATTTTCTTGGACAAGACATTGTGACTAGCCCAGTCTTTACTTTTCCAATATTATTCTCATTGTCTTTCTACTGGTTTACATATATGTTTTATGCTTGTGCATTTAAATGACAATATTTAAACATAGAAATCAGAATAGCAACTTCATTCACTATACTTTTATTTATTTTTCTTCCAGGGAGTAATTTGAATTTTTCCTGCTCTAATCTGAATATGTGCTATAAACAACCTTTTCATTGCTTGTTGTTGCATTATTAATTTTATATATGTTTAGAAAGCAACTGTATTTGAATATTTTTTTTAAAAAAATTGATCAACGCTGCAACAGTTGTAAATATGAAATATGGTCATAAATTTCTTTTTCAGTGCCATGGTAACAATCATTTAAAGAATGGTTGTAAGACAAGGACTATCTATATAGAATAGAATAGAATTCTTTATTGGCCAAGTGTGATTGGACACACAAGGAATGTGTGTTCCTTGTGTGTCCAATCACACACATGCAATCACATGTTGCATGAGGAGAGGCTAATGCATGACTTCAATCTTTTGAAGACTGATGGTGGATTCAAAGTTGTCACAAGAAGAATTTGTTCATACTGACTCGCACTTATGAATCTGAACCAGCATTTAGGGAATAATCATTAGCAAAGAGAGAGTGTCTCAGAACACTTTCCTTCACTTTGGTAATTAAGTTATTACTGAATTCATATTAATTCATTTGCATGCTTGTACAGAAATAGATTTATGTTTTATACTAGGTATTCCAAACAATCTTTTTGTAAGCAGATAGTGATGAGACGATCATGATTTTTATTTATTATGGGTCTTTTGAAGACTGTACGTATGTATGTATGTATGTATGTATGTATGTATGTATGTATGTATGTATGTATTTATTTATTTATTTATTTATTTATTTATTTATTCATTCTCTTATGCATCAGTTCATATCACATTACAGAATAACTTTTTGCCAAATCTTGCATTCATAGGGAATGTTATACATTTTTCCTAAAATTAGGTAATGGCTCTTCATTAGTTATCACCATTCATGCCATATTATTAGCATCTGAATGCCTATTTCCATACACACTCATATTTAAACTAAATGTTGCCACTTTATATTATGACATATTTTTTCTAGCTTTTATTTATAATTAAACCTTTGCTTTGATTTTCATGAAGTGTTCATTCATTATACTCACATATAATAAGGAAATGAAACCAGAGGCCTGTTTTACATCAAATATGTTCACACATCTATTCATGTTAGGATCTCTAATCTAAATACTACCTTGCAAGTCAATATTTTTTTCCACCAATTGCAAATTACATGCAATGGTACTGCATGCAGATGTAACAGATGTGTCAGAAAAATACACAATAATTTTATATACAGTAAAATGTTAGAATTTCATAAAATTTTAAAAAATGCTTCCTAAGTTTTAAACTAAATCTTTCTAAACTCTTTAGCCCAAATAAATGCATGTGCTTTGACCATTCTATAAAACACCCTTGATATTTTAATTATCTATGTGACACATTACTTCGCTCTGAAATACTTAACAATAATTAAATTTTGTGATTAGATTTTTTTTGTTATATGCAATAGGTTGGGGAAATCTACCAGTTTATCATATTTACAGCTTTCTACTTACAATTGTTACTCTACAACATCTCTATAATCATGTAATAAAAATTCATAGGATCATGTCATTACCATTTGTAACTTTCTGACAAGTAAAGTAAATGGGAAAGCCAGATTTACTTAACAAAGATTGATTGATTGATCGATCTGATCTAATCTGATTTAGTACTGGTGTGCCTTTTTCATTTTCAAAATAAAGATCATGTCACCTGGGAACTTTCATAGTTCATAACTCCTACAAATTAACCTCAATTAATTTATGGGACAATGGGACCCAAAAAACAATTCTTAACATTGAAAGTAGAAATAGATAAAAGATGCTAAATCAGAGGAATTTCCAGAAAATATACTTTCACATATGATCCTTGGATGTGAAAGTATATTAATTAAATAACAAAATATCCATGAAATCGAATGAGACCAGTTGAATTTTTATAATAAAATAGCTTGTAACAATGTTCAAATAATATATTTGACACATCCAATTTACAATAATTAGATTTCATGGATCTTTTGTTATATAATTATTAATGTTTTCTATAAGTTACATTAAAACATTGATTTTTAAGGAATATTTGATACAAGTTCAAAATGGCAACTTTAAGATAGAGAAACTCCCGTGACAAAATTCTCCAGCTGGCTATTTAGCACTTTAAAGAAATTCTGCTTTAGAGCCTACAATATTTCCTAGAATCACATTTATTTTACAGTAATATTCTGTAGCACAATATGATACACATTCTATTCAGAAGAAAATATAACCAGATTCTGTGGTGTTTACATGCAGGTAATGTTTCAGGTTAAAGCTCAATATTCAGATATTTTAGAATCTTGGTAAGCTATGCAGACATTTTATACTTACAGTATCTTATTTTTTTCAGAATAGCCTGAGAAACATAATAAACATAATACCTTTTTTAACAAAATCAAGTTCTGCTTTCTATACCATAAAAGTACATAGTAGTTCTGTAGTTGTATATATGAACACCAACCTAGGTTTTTTTTTGATAGGATATCTTCTGATCTTGCTATTTTGCAAGGATATGTTAACATTCTTTGCCTGAAAATTGAGAAAGTTGTTAGTATTTGTTTTGAATCAAAAATCAAGAATAGGTAGAAATAACCCGACATCATAAATAGTTAAAATCCAGACTTAATTAAATTGGGACCTACTGAAAACAGTAAATTATAATCAAAGAATGAATTTGGATTGCTACCTATTTCTATGAATGTTTCATCTAATAAAAATATTGATAACTATTTATGAACAGTACAATTTTATTAAAACTCATATTAGTTCTTTTAAGCACACTTTAAAAGGGTGTCTGCATTATAAATATGCATTATACATATTATAAATTATATTACTTATTTAGATTGAATTACCATTTTTCAGACTATAAAATGCCCCGGATTATAAAATGTACCTAGTTTTTGGGGAGGAAAACAAGAAAAAAAATCTGCCTTTGCCTCCCAGCAATTTGCCTCCTTGCAGCAAACATCACAGCCTGGTCAGCTTCAGCACAGTCTGATTTAGCATGAGCAACTGATTGCTAGGAGAAAGAGGTTTGGTGGGCAGGGCTTCAGCAATATTCACTCTATAGGACCCACAGACATTTCCATCCATTTTTTTTGAGGGGTAGAGTACATCTTATAGTCTGAAAAATACAGTAGATTTCTGTCACTGACATTTTCTATAAATCCTGAAATGTAGTTGCCAGTCTGTCAATCAAGCTGAAGAGTCTACATTGTACATAAAATGTTTAAAATAACTTAAAGTAGCAAAATAAACTCTTGAAAGTCAGCTTGAAAAGTATGTATTTTATATAACTTTAAAAGGTAAACCACTATGAATATATGAATTGAACTCAGATTATGCATATTTTAGATATAGGTTTCTTCAGGTTTAAGTTAAAGATTTCTTTCAATTAAAATATTTCCTTTTAAGCCTTAAAACATAGTTCATCATTTTTTTTGGGGGGGGGGATACAGATTGCATTGGAATGTACATTATTTATTTATTAGAAAATTTATGTTCTGCCCTGCACTCAAATATTTCTGAAATTGTTAATAAAACTTTTAAGTTGATTAGCGTAATGTGAGGAATTCTGATTTAGTTGCATACATAATAGATCCTCTGAAATCTATTACTAATTTAGAGCACAATCCTACAATATACAAGAGTGGTAACTATGGAGTAGAAATCACTCTTAACATTTTTTTTCTTCCGTAGAAGGCTTGAAAATTAATATTTCCTAATATGTGAAATCATGCCAAGAATAAAATGAGAGAAGGGCACTAGAAGCCTTTCCAGCTAAAACACCCCCAAAATAAGCTTTATCACAATTAGAGTTTTGATGGACTGTTTCCTTTAAACTAATTATAGTAAGAAAGAACTCAGAAAAGGGAAGAAGTAAGGAAGAAGTGTACTTCATCCCTCACTTCTTTCTTATTAGCAATTGGGCATGGGCTTTAAGCTTTACCATGCAAAATTATTCTGCTAAGAATTTTCAATGGCATTACTTTTTCCAATGCAGGCCTTGTACAGAGCCTTCCCAAGCTTCAGCTGCCTTTTTCCAAGCTGGAATGCATTAGTTCAGGGGTCCACAACCCCTGGTTGCAAACCGCTACAGACCATGTCCTATTCAGAACTGGGCCATCCAAGCTTGCAGTTCGACTTGCACATGGCGACCCAGCGTGCACACACATGCACAAATACATGCAGCTCAACTTGCACAAGCCAAGCCGTATGCATGTGCGTACCAGCCCACTGGCCTGCCACTTGTACAAGTCAAGCTGTGCGCATATGCCATCCTGCTGCTTGCGTGGCCCAGTTCCCCACTCCCCCACAGCTAGGCTGCCAAGTGTCAAAGGTTAGGGACAGTTGCACTAGTCTCATTAAGTGTTAATATAGTATACCTTTCCATTAAAACTAGTTGGTTGTTCAGCTGCAAGGACAAGACTGTGGTATCAATTATGACAGGGGTGGGCTTCAGGGTAATGAACCGGTATGCGTGTACCCGTTCGTCAAATTTCGCGTGTCTTCTGGCACCCGTTCTTCTGGAGGCCACATTACCGGAATGTTCCCTCCCATGGCCTGCTCCCTTGCACACTCCCCCACCCGCCCAGTTGCTGCTCACATACTCTGCCTGTCTGCACCAGGCTTGCCCCGCCAACAGCCACCTCATTACCAATAGGGGGTGGGAAATCCATGCAAAGTGTCCATTCCTCACCCCCTCCATTGGAAACAAGGAGGCTGTCAGAGAGAAGAGGGCAGCGCATGCCACGTGGGCTTGTGCAGCAGCTGAAGAAGGAACAGGAGCTGTGGCATGGCTCTACGTGGTTGGCAATGACTCCGGAGCCCATCCACGGGGGGTGGGGTCCCCCTTGCATTCCTCATCTTCCCAGATGGGCTCTGGAGTCATCGCTGGCCGTGGAGAGCCACACCGCGGCTCCACACCGTGGAAAACGTAGGCGTGCGTGCACACACCGTACAATTACAGCCTTGGAGACTTTGTAATGGTGGGAACTTGTTCTCACTCATCAGGGCTCCTGCAGAATCTTCCCTCCGAAGCCCTCAGAGAGGAAGGGCAAGTTGGGAGAGGGGCTTTGGTCCTGCTTCGGGCTGTAATTGTGCAGGGTGTGCGCTTGCCTGTGTTTTCCACAGCATGGGGCCACGGCTGGAAGATGAGGAATGTGAGGGACCAGCGGGGCTTCGTCCATCTGAAGAGACCCTGTCCCTGAAGAGGACAGATGTGGTGGCATCAGTCTTGGGATGTTCTGTGGAGCCCCCCAGGGAAAAATGCCGCTGCCAGGTACTTTTAACCATATATTTTTGTCCTATGACTGCAGAATGCTGCAATAAAACATAAATGAAGGCCAGTTGTTGAGTGTTTCAAATATGATTGGAACACTCAACAAGGTGACCACAGTATGCGTGTGTCTCTGTGTGTGAGTGAGTGAGAGAGACAGACAGGCAGAGAGAGGCAGAGAGAGAGAGAGAGAGAGAGAGAGAGAGAGAGAGAGAGAGAGAGAATGAGAATCAGAGAGACACGGACAGACACACAGAGAGAGACAGAGAGAGATACAGAGAGGGGGAGGGAGGGAGGAAGAGTGGGAGAGACAGACAAACAGAAAGAGACACAGAGAGAGAGAGACACACAGAGTGAGTGGTTAAGTGAGGGAGTGAGAGACAGACAGACACACACACACACACACACAGAGTGACAGAGAGAGACGAAGAGAGGGGGGAGATAGAGAGAGGGAGAGAGAGAGACACACACACAGAGACACACACAGAGAGAATGAGTGACATACACACATACACACAGAGTGACAGAGATGGGGGAGGGAGGAGAGAGAGAGAGACAAAGAGACACAGAGAGAGACAGACAGACAGAGAGACACAGAGAGAATGACAGAGAGAGACAGAGAGGGAGGGAGGGAGGGAGAGAGAGACAAAGAGACACCCACAGAGAAAGAGAGAAAGAGAGAGACAGACAGACACAGAGAGACAGAGAGACAGAAAGAGAAAGAGAGAGAAAGAGAAAGAAAGGAAGAAAGGAAGAAAAAGAAAGAGAACTTACGACCACAATTGAGCCCAAAATTTTGGTTGCTAAGCAAGAGCATTGTTAAGTGAGCTTCACATTTGGCCATGCCCACCCAGTCACATGATCACCGAGCCACTCCCACAAAACAGGTCACACCTACAGAATAGCTTCTAAAAATTTTTTGAAATCCACCATTGAATTATGCTAACATCCCTGTATTATTTTCTTCTGTATAGCAATTCTTCAGTCTGGTCAACCAGGAAGTGGTTCATTAATACATTCACATGGCATGAACAGCAAGCACATTCATTGCCCAGCAATATACTAAGCCAAAGAACTTTTTGGAAGTTATAGAACTAAGATTTGAAGATAGATTCCTGGCATCCTGTAAAATCCTTTTGAAGAATGGAACATGATACAAGATGGAACAGCATGATATACTATGCTGGATGTAAACATTCTATCATGTTTAGTGTGCTTTTGAAATAAAGTGAGTGAAACCTAGAGATAGGGATTTTTAGCTATTGGATATGAATTTAATGTATATTAGATGCCATACTAAAATAGTGGATTCCTATGAATTTTAACAGTTTTTGATGGCTGATTTGATTTGCTGATACTGAAATATAGTGTTGATTTATTTATTTAATCACTTCATTGTAATATGTTGCATATCACACTAAACATTTTAATCATAGGGCAGGCTAAGTATATTTAAATAAATAAAAGATATAGTTCTTATATCTTGGAAAAATCAAGATATATGAATTCACTATCCATATTTTTGTATCTTTCCTTGTCTAGTGAAAATCACAATATTTTAAGACCAATAGAGTATAACCAAAGAAACTTACTTTCTTCCATTTCTGCAGCTAATTTTCTTCCCACATTTTTTTGTATAACTTTTAATCTGAAAAATAGATAATTTTTGAATACACAGTATATTTAATGGCAGTCAACAGTTTCAGAAGTATATAGTTTACCTTTTTAATTTCAACAGCTGTTCCACCAATGATGTTATTTTTGATCATTTGTAAATCAGATTTGATGGGCAAGTTCACTCATTTTATTAAATTATATATTTCAGCCTTGTATTTTTCTTTTACATGTATTATAAAATAGGATGTTGGACAGGGGTGGGTTCTGGCAGGCACTACTGCTGGTTTGCTCATGTGTGTGCACCATGTGTGCGCACCACATGTGCGTGTGTACGCCTGATGCACACTGCATGGGCATGTGCGGTACAATTAAAATTGTTGTGTGCATGCGCAGAACCAAAAAACAAGATGGTGGAGATCCAATTCAGGGGCGTGGTAGACTTGGGTCGCTGCTGATTCCAGGGACCTAGGCCACCAAACCATTACCATTTCGCCTGAACCTGTAGGAACCCACCACTGGTGTTGGAAGAATTTTTTTCTTTTCTCATGGTTAGATAATCACAATTTCTTGTATATCCAAACTACAACTTTGGTTAATTATAGTTGACATATGATTACCGTATTTTTGGGAATATAAGACGCACCTTTTTCCTCTCAAAAAAGAGGCTGGTAATCTGGGTGCATCTTATACACTGAATATAGCATTTTTTGCCTGCAGAAACCCAGCCTCCTTCACCTAAATGACCCTGCAGAGCCTCTAGGAAGCTTTTAGAGAGCTTCTCGGGACTAGGGAGGGCAGAAATGAGCAAAAAACACCCCATTTTTTGCTCAATTTAATCCCCCAACCCCCAGGAACACTCTAAGTTTCCTAAAAACTATCCATGCCCCCCCTTTTTTTTACAAAAAAATGCACACATTTATTTGCTCATTCCCCCCCCCCCAGCACTCTGCAAGCTCCCTAAAGGCTATTCATGCCTTTTTTGGGGGAAAAACCGGGCCTATTTTCGCAAAAAATGGGCCGTTTTGGGGAGGTTTGCAGGGTGCAAAACCTTTTTTTTAAAAAAATTTCCTCTTCAAAACCTTCCTGTGTGTCTTATACACCAAAAAATACGATAATTTATAACTGAATTAGCTTATGTTAAATTAATTAAAAATCAGTTTGTCACAAAAATAATCAGATGATAAACTATGCAATAAAAGTTTTTGAAACTCTCTTGGCTATTTATATAGGAGATTAAATGAGCCTGAAGCTTCTGGCATCTAATCTATATCACAGAAAAAATAGTGGAAATGATGTTCAAAGGCTATGCCATACCAGTTATAGTTACTATACTAAATATAGTATTTTTCTTCAGGTATTTATTCACTTTCACTTTCCTCATCTAAAATCAAACAGGTTTCATTAAACTATTATGAAGCATAGAATAATAAAATGAATTAATTATATCCATTTTCATTCTAACATAAAATGCTTATAAAATTAGTAAGTTATTAAATTAATCAAACACACACATTTCTTATCAATACAAATTGATATAATAATACTGCCATTTAGAAAGAACAGCTAAAACAAATATTGCAAAGCAAGTCCGTATTCAGTTATAATTGTAAGAATTTATATTTAAATCTTACCATTTTCCTACATTCTATTTTATCAGTTTTTCTTTTGGCTTCTTTGTCATTTAATGTATCTAAAAACCATTATAAGGATAATTAAGAAACATTTGAATCATAATGACTTACAAAAGATTTTATATGATTGTTTTTGATCTGTGCTAAATTCTTACGTTATAATAAAAGTATTATGGAAATAGGAATCTACAATGAAACTACTCAACTATCACATAGTGGGCTGTGATACCATGTTTGCTGGAGGAACATGGTCCAATTCAGAACTTTGTTAATCTTACATGATAAATAGATCCTGATGTCTGTGGTAAGTACCCAAAGATATTTTATAGAGTATATTGATCATTACAGAGATATAGTTGTAGGAACTTGTATTTCATTAAAAGTTACATCCATCATGTACAATGTTCTTAAGTGAATAACACGGATTATTCTGAGCTGAGTATTTATTTATTCTTTTATTTATGAAACTTCTATTGATTTGATGGAGAAATCATTGGTATCTAACAGTATTAGTATTTTGTAAAGATACTATCATTAATTTATGCCACAATTCCTAGGAAAATATTTACACAAATAAAAATTCGAATGTTTGTGTATAACAAATAAAAGGCCAGATAATTGTACCTTTTTTTGATAGGTAGCATATGTCAAGCCTTTGCTGAGTAGTACATGCAAGTAATTTGTTTGCCTCTTCAAATGCACTTTCATACCAGGTTTTTCTCTTCTTACATACCTCTGTCTAAGAAATATAAATATAAATATATATCCAGCTATATTAGTAATTTATATTATGTACATCATTATTTTTCTAAATTTCTCAGCATAAAATGCAAAAAAATAATTTTTTGCAATACATGTGTTAGTTACACATATAAACAACTACAGAAACAATGAACATGCAATTTAAGTTAAACTTCAAATTATTTTAATTTTAGAAAAAGGCATTATTTTAATTTGGGAAACTGTGGGTGGGGAGTAAAGAAAGAGTCAGAGACAGAGAACATGAGCTTGTGTAACAAATTTGAGGTGCTATTAAAGAAAAGCCCTTTTTCTTTTTAAAAAAAGGAAAGGATATTTGCTTTTTTTGGCTCAAACATAAAACTTACAGCATTTCTTGTAGATAGTAACTCTCTTTACAACTGGATCTTATGGTTAATAAGGTTAACATATTTACACAGTAGATTCTTAGGTCAGCTACAAACAATTAACTATAAAATATATCTACAGAAATTTATAGCAATAAAGTTTTTATAGAGATATAGGAAGTAATCCACTAATATGTCTATTTTTAATTTTGTATTATCTCTGGTCAGCTTGATAAACATTGATTTGTTTTGAATGAGTTACAAATACATTTTCTGAAGTGAAAAGAAAACTGTGAAAAAAAATGCCTAATGAGAAAGGGTTCAGCTTCCGATGACATATGGGAAATGATGAAAAATTCAATATAAGGAAATAGAATCTCTGTACAGTGTACTATATCATAATATTTCTTGAATGGTCAGAGCTTGTGTGAAACATTTTACAATGCAGTGCAGTACTTACACATCAAAAGATGTACTGCAACATGTAGTATATCTGAAATAAACATTTACTGTTTGTAAGTGTTCAGGTTCACAACCTAGACTACAAAGCTATTTAAGCTCAGAGCATTACAGAACAGAAATGTCTTTAGTTTGTTGCTAGGCATTAACAGCTGAATCCAGTACTGAGCTACTACTTATGCAGAAATCAAAAATTATAATGGGTTAGAAGTTATTAATACTTCTATTTTTACCATCATGTTATCAACAGACTCTGGACTACAGTATACGAGTTTCAGTTAGATATTTCCCCTGTGGAAAGATATGGGGCCATATCAGTCTGTATGGAAAAAAATAGAATCCACACTTTTTAATATTTATTCTGGGAAATACAGAAAACAGAAGGTAACTTTAGCTATTGTATATGTTTTGACAATTGTTCGAGTTTTGAGCTAATTATATACTCACATTTTTTAATTACTACCCATCCAGTTATTGGTTATCTGAGCCAAAGTACATATGATTTAAACAAGTTTAATATTTACTTTGTGATATCAAATATTTCTAGTACAATTTATTTTATTTTTCTGACATTCAAGCCATAGTCAGGTGAATGCTGTTATTTTTTCTCATATTTATTCCTCTCAGTGAAATCTTCAGCAAAATTAAATATTAGCATTCCTTTAATTCATAAACTCCTTAATATTCCAGGTATTTTTTTTAAATAAGGGAAACTAGCTGATATATTTGCTATGTAATGAATCAAACAAAAGGTAAAGCAACAAAAACAGGGGGAAAAAATCACGTTTATAACCTTTCAACTAAAAAATATCAAGTGAAATTACAATAAATTGGAATGTTTTGTTAGATTTCTACACTTGCTTCTATTTACATAATTTTGCATTGTTGTATGAATAATTTGAAAACAAACATATTAACTTTAATTCATTTGATTTTTAAAATAAATATGACCAATAAAAACACATTTACATTCTGAATCCTTACAAATGAAGTATTATGTTAGCGGACTTTCTTTGTTCTTCAACAATATCTGACAATATCTAACTTGCTCAATGAAGAAATTTAGAAATCTTTTAGATTTTGTTACATTAAAGTTATCTAACAAAGCAAGTTAAGATTATACAAAGATGCATTTATTTAAATGTCTTTACTTTGTAAGAGTTGCATTGTATACTTTTCTCCTTATTACAACACCTGCCTTGCTATTCTGGTACCTGACATACTGTCCAGCTTCTTGTTTTAAAATAATGTTTAATCTTAAATCTCTTTTAAGTTGGCAATATTTTTCTCCATCCACAGCTTTAGGAAAATAACATATTGAACTATAAACCTGTGTGTTATATGCATTTATCTAATAATATATGATTCACTGTGTCACACAAATGAAAAAGATTGGGTTAATACAATAGACTATGAGTCATCTAACTATAGCCAGGTGTGCTGTACAAAGTTTTGATAATTAGGATGAGTTGTGAGATTTTATGTTTATTATTAGTGTGTGCTGCAGCATCACTTCTGTGAATAAGTTTTTAAAAAGTCTTGCACAGAAACTCCAAGTTCCGTGACTTTATATAATGCCTGCTTCTTTTATAATTATACCTAATGTAGTATGCTATCTACTGTTAAGTAATAAAAGCACAGATCAATATTTTTCAGACTTCTCAATTATCAGCATTTCATATGTTACTGATATTTTAAAAAGTGCTAGCCTAGGGTTTCCTATGAAATAAATAACTTTAATACAGTTTTTTCAGGAAAATAATACCCGATTATCAAGGAAAATATCATTTATATTATCCAATTATTAAGTAATGAATAAATAACAATTCTCTTAAAACATATCAGTGTTGGTTAGTGCTATGCTAACAAAATAAGGGAACTGCCAGTTTCAATCATTGCAAGATGTACTGGCCAAAATAAAAACAATTATTCCTTATTTCTAGTGATTTTGTAAAAAATCATATTGATTTTTGTGAAATATGCTAAATAGCAGCTGGCTTGAGTATCTTGATCTAGCGAGGAGGGGGGGGACTTGCTTTTAAAAGAAAGCTCTAGTGAACATTACATAGATAGAGCCGTTGAGGACACATTAGTGCTTGAATAACTTCACAATAACTCTGTAAATAATGCACACTTTAAAATTATGATACAATTTTTGCAGACATCAAATCATTTTCAATATAATACTAGCATACAATAAGTTTCTAATAAAGAAGAAAAAAATATGGAACCTAGGTAACAGAAATTCAATTTATTAATCAAAGTCTGCCACCTTGTGGTGGAACATTATTATTCTGATGATGTTATACTAGTTTGGGTAATAAAAAATCTGCAAGAAAACAACCAAGCTCAGATATAACCCAGGACCCCTTTTTGTTATCCTAAAATAATATGACTGGAACATAATAAAATATGTTATTTAGTTAAAATATATTAAGAGTAGAAATATAAAGCTGCTGAAAAATATTTTATTCCATTAAAATTTTCATACAATAAAATGGCACTTTCCATAAATATCTGTTAAATTTCAGTTAAATTAAACATGAATTGCATTCTACTGCATGTTGCATAATTTCTTGGCTATTTACATAGGTGTTTTTCTTGGTACTATTTTGAATTTAAATTAACGATGCATCACTACAATGGATAAATCACTATTCGGGTCAATTCTATAAATATTTGTCATCCACATATTCACCAATATTAATTAATTAATATCTTTGAACATGCATAAATCTGCAGTTACTTGTTTTTTAGCCCAATTTAATTTTTTGGTCCTTCAATAGGAATGTTTAATTAATTGCAATTTATATCCCATCTATTTAAAAATTTGAGATACCTCATGAGCCATATACATGTTTCCTTAAAAAAAAAAAAAGCTCTTCGTGTTCTTGATCTGCTGCAGATTTTTACCATTGTGATGGTAATTGGTTCCTGCTCTGGCAGATTACTGTGGTCTGCTATCAGGTCCTGCAGCCAGTTTGCACTGGTGTTATGTGTTTTCTCTTTCTCCCATATGTTCTTCAAGTATTATTTCAGTTTCTTCTGTTCTTCCAGTACTGTTCAGTTTCTGACTCTACTGTTCTGCACTAAAGTTGGGAGTATACCTTGGATAGTTCTTTGGAAAACAGGGCATTCATCTTATTGGTCTCTGCATCTCTAAACAATGGGTGGAAACTAATCCAGAAGAAAAGCAACTAGAACTAAGGAGAAATTTCCTAACAGTGAAATCAATTAACTAGTGGAACGGCTTGCCTTCAGAAGTTGTAGGTGCTCCATCACTGGAGGCTTTTAAGAATAGACTGGAGATCCACTTATCTGGAACGGTGCAGGGTCTCCTGCTTGGGCAGGGGATTGGACTCCAAGGCCCTTCTAATTCTGCTATTCTGTTATTCTCTAGTGTTTCTCCTTAACCTGGTAGCCAGTGCCTTTGTTTTGCAATTTTGAGGGCTTCAAATGGAGTCAGGTTCTTGGATTTTTTCGGTAGCCAAGCTTTCACTTCACTCACTTCTGTTTGAATTGCCTTAATCTTAACCACTAATGTCATTTTTCAGAGTGGATATATTGATAATGTAGGTATCAGCTAGGATTTGAACCCCAGTCTCCCCCATCAAAGACAGTTTTCTAACCACTATGCTATTTAGCTGCTACAACAGTGTATATATAAAATTTATTTAAAATTTCTTTTACTAAAATTGAAGAAAAATCACCCAATGTTTTTAATTAGACAATCCAAAGGTTCCTAGTACCTGAAAAAGAGTTAATAGGCAATTTCCAAAACTGATTATAAATGGAAATACGTGAATCCTGTGCCCATAAAGGTGCTGAAAATATTTGAGTGAAAATGGCATTTCTTCATCTCCCAGACCAATCAGAGACGTCTGTCTTGCAGTCTCCTGATGAAAAGCAACTGCCTGGAGAACTTGTAGTCAATTTCAGTATTAGAAAATCAGATATATTAAAGGATATTTGTAAGCATCCAACGGTGCAGGGTCTCCTGCTTGGGCAGGGGATTGGACTCCAAGGCCCTTCTAATTCTGCTATTCTGTTATTCTCTAGTGTTTCTCCTTAACCTGGTAGCCAGTGCTGTAAGCCTTTGTTTTGCAATTTTGAGGGCTTCAAATGGAGTCAGGTTCTTGGATTTTAATTTTAAGAGTGTCTTCTATTATAAATAGCGTCTTCTGAAAATATTATG